TGATAATTCCTGCTTAACAAATGCCAGTTCTCCTGTATTTAATTTTTGGATTGGTATAAATTTTATTTTTAAGAAATTATTCATCTCATCTCATTCGGAGTCATAAAAATGATTGGCTCTTCAGATTATTGCTTCTCTTATATATGCCTTCAATATCTATTAGTGGAAACAATAGTCACTTGAATCAAATCCTAAAAAATAAAGCTGACAATTGAAAAAACATATAAGACATTGTATTTCTGCTTTAAGACATATTGGTAATGTTATATATCTACCAGTTTGTAAGATCATTTTTCCTTTTCTCTGAAATGAGTTTAAAAATACATATAATGCATGTTAATATAACTTTATTAGAGATTAAGTCATATGGAGATTTTTTTTCAATTAGTATCATCACGCAAAGATAGAAATAATGTATAATTCAATCTTATGAATGTGCAAATCTCTCTTTTCTTTTGATATTTCAGCTTCATCAAACCCAGAAGTCATCAAGATAAATTCAATTCTGGATATAGTAACAAAAGTAGAGGACTATTATCTGAAAGGATATATCGTTGGAGCTATTCATCCTGTTATACAACCTGTGGTGCAGCGAAAACACCTCCCTGCAAGTTACCTATATAGGGTGGTGCTGTCACGCTTGAAATTAAGGTAAGCATGGTGCTCAAGAGAACAGTCATACTAAAAGGGAGTTGTGAATGACAGTTTTCTTTGTCTAAAAGAAAAGAAATTTTCAACAAAGTGATGGAGAATAAAGAATAATTGAGGGTTTTAGTTCAAGGCACATTTTCCAGCAGTTTAACCTGGATTGAAGTACAAAAATTTACACCTCCTTCCTTAAAACTCCTAATTGATCTTAGCTTCTTGCAGACAAATAGGTACTAGGTGAGGATGTCAGTAACAAAGGGAAAGCAAAATAGACTCAAGAGGCACCTGGAAGCTCCTGTAGCAACTTCAGCAGATGAAAGAGTAGCAGTTACCTACAGGTACTGTCACTAGGCTGAAAGTGCTGACCAGACCCATGAGGTCCACTTTCACTGTCCTATATTGTTTGATTAATAGTGGCAACAGAAATTTTCTCTACATTCTAAAACTTTTAACAGCAGAAAGACCTACTACACCAAGTTTTCCATATTGGATAGATCTCTTGTCAGCTTTTTCCCCAAAATAGGATTTAAAAGCCAACCATTGTGGGTTTTTTTATTTTAATTGCTACTTTTCCAAACAGTAGTGCAATCATTTTTGCCAACCTAGATTGTAAATTTATAGTTTCCATGGTAAAATACTGTTGCTCTTTCCAAGGGAAGGATGAAAATAACTAGACCAATGTCTTATATTAGCACATTAAATTTGTGTGTGGGTTTTGGGGGATTTTTTTGGTTTTTTTGTTTGTTTGAGACAAGGTCTTACTCTGTCACCTGGGCTAGAGTGCAGTAGTGTCATCACAGCTCACTGCAACCTCAAACTCCTGGACTTGAGTGATCTTCCTGCCTCAGCTCCCACGTAGCTAGGACTACAGGCACATGCCACTATGCCCAGCTAACTTTTCTATTTTTTATAGAGACGAGGTCTCGCTCTTACTCAAGCTGGTCTCAAACTCCCAGCCTCAAGCGATTCTCCCACCTTGGCTTCCCAAAGTGCTAGGATTACAGGAGTGAGCCACCAAGTCCAGCCTTAACACATTAAATTTTTTTTTTTTTTTTTGAGACAGAGTCTCACTGTGTTGCCCAGGCTAGAGTGCCGTGGCATCAGCCTAGCCACAGCAACCTCAGACTCCCAGGCTCAAGC